TAATTTCATATCATTTCCATATCAAATAATTGTTTCAACCATCTTTGACTATCTTGTTTTCTTCATAGCTCTCAAGTACGATTTCTAGAACTGATTTGTATCATGCAAATTCATGACCTTGGCCACATTGCGTCGTAACTCTTGTATTTTTCCGGCACTTTTCTGAATTACCCAACTCTTTTATTTCATATTATTTTAGTATAAGGACCAAACTTTGTGCCAGCATGCATTTTGACATGATTTCTCACATACCAAGACGCGTTTTGAAGGCTTGAAGTTGCTCGAATTTTCGCTTTTTGCAACAAGTGTTTGAGAGTACTTTGTTAAAAAATCTTGTAATTTTTAAAATTAAACCAAAGCTCCTAAAAGTGCCATAAATAAAAATCAAATGAATTATATTTTCAAGTAAAAACATCCCCGATTTCTTACGAAACATCCTCCTTCAGTACTAGCACACTAAATTTGCTCAATTTTACTGTATTTTTTTGCGTACTTAATTAGGTAAAAAGCCGAATTTTCGTTTTTCCCCATTTTCTCGGAAACATTTGATTTTTCAGACTTTGAAATATTTTTTTATAATAGATCTCCCTAAAAGGGTTTTCCAGGAAAATTATCAGAATTTTCGATTTTTCAGCTTGGCCAGAGATTCTCGATATCTACAGTCATGGGCTCTTAAGTACCTGTGTTGCACTTTATTCCTAATGAACTTGTTTAAAAGCAATAGCGCTTGATTGAGTTGTGTGACCCTAACAAAACCGTCATGGCCGAGCGAGTCACTTATTGAACATACGATTCTATAAGATATAGTCCTCAAATCGACCAATTACCATACAGAAATCGCCTAAGCAAGAGCACATGATCCTATTCAGAATAGGAAAATATATCGGACGTTTGATTAAAAGTAAAAGCATAAGAAATTCTTCCTTTACAGGTTGCGTGGAATGCCTCGATGAAGATAGGAGTTGGAAGTGCAATTTCTTAAATTTATGGTTTTATATCAGTGGCTCGATATTCCCCCAGGGGTGGAGAGCCTTCATCAAAAATGTCTTTCCTAAAGGTATTGATCATTATCAAGGGAAACTATTTTGAGCACAATCCTTTATATTAACATTATGCAATATCCGAGTAGCTTTTGACTAATACATTTTAGCTCTACGAAGTCAGCTCAAAACTAAACAAATAAACAACAATGAGAAGTGGCAGTTATGCGAAAGAAAAGTCTGCCCCCTGACTTCGATCATTTTGATGGTCTCCCTTAAAAGGAGGGAAATGATACCTGTTGTAGATCAATCAAGTTGACTGATCTACAGGAGGTATCATTTCCTTTCAGTACACTCCTGAGCATTTCTGCCAAATCGTCTTTGTCTTATCTTTGTGATTTACAAAAGGTATCCTTTCCCTTCAGTGCACTCTTAAGAATTTCTGCCAAACATACATTCGGAAATTTAACGAAATGAGTACATCAGTCAACAAAGATTTTTCGTCAAGAATTTAAGCACCCTCCACCAAAATCAAAGCAGGTACCCGTACTACAAGGAACTCGTTATCATTATAAACTTTTACTACCCTTTCAAGAATTTGATTTCAACTTTTCTTTACAAATAATAAGTCTGACTACCTCATAGTGGTCATTCAGATTACAACCTGTTTGTCAAATCCTTTTATAAATCGGCGCATTACTCTTATTAAAAGAAACAGATTTTACATCTCCACCTTCAACGCCAAAACCGACCATGTTAGGTACGTTTTCTGACATACTGCGGACTTTTCTCCTTATTAATTAAGTAACAAGCTGAGCTGAAGCATTTATCAACCCTGATTGTCACTTGTCTTGCAGTAGTGTACATGGTCAACTGGTTCCAGGTACGACAGCAAGAATAAGAGAATTGTAAAGTAACCATCGAAGTCAACCATTCAAACACTAAAAGTGCCAATCATTGTCATCCTTCCCTTGTTTCAGAGGAGTATATCGACCGTCTTCTTCCACTTTAGATAAGATAACAAGACCCCTGTAACAGTTCTTTTGCAGAGGAGACTAATCTTGCTTTGTGGTGTCGATCTCTTTTAATTTGTTGCCGTGTGAAAGATGAAAAAGTGTTCATGAAAACGAATGCCCGAAATGTTTACGGTTTTCTTGAAAACTCTTTGACATGTCTCGCGGCTCCTCGTAAATATGTTGTTATCGTGTCTTGAGGGGGGACAGGAAACTCAGCCTTCCAAAATGAAAGCTCTCCTCTTGATAGCGATGAAGGCACGATACACAGTCTAACATTCATATAACCAGCCTTAGAAAGATTTTATTAATAAGCCATAAAGTTTTTGACAGGTATTCGTTTTCTGTTGGTTTTAAGTGGCATAAAAAGATACAAACAACTGTTACATGATGGCCAATTCTGTGATTTAATCTGTGCTGAAATGTAAAAACTCTTACTTACACTTTACTCAAAACGCTTTAAAAATTGACAAATCAGTAGTTAGAACAAAAACCTATGGAAGATATTACCTGTGGAATTGTCAAAAGGAGAGGGCCGACAGATAATGAAGATATTAAGCCAGGATAATTCCCTTGGCAAGTGGGCTCCACATATCAGAACCGACTGGGGAAGTCAAACCTGTTTTGTCGCGGATAGAGAGTGGTTTTTGACAGCTGCGCATTGCTTTGTACTCCATGTAAATCCATTACATTGAAAGTCCTCCTGGGTGAATCTGATGCTCAGAACGAAAACGGTCGAGAGGTTGTTGCGAAGGCTTCTTGAGTGATTAGACATCCACTGCATATAAAGAACACCAAAGATTGCGGTAGTCAAGTTAAAAGCGCCTCTTAAAGACTTCAATGACTACTTGATGCCAATTTGTTTACCGCATCAAACAGTGTCGCCCTTTTAGGTGGTGAAATTTGTACTGTGACCGGTTCAGGACTAGATTACTATTTGGAAAATGCTAAGAATAGGGGTTTTGCATGGCAGCCATGTTTCATGGCAGGAACAATGAAAATATTTTGCATAAGGAAGAAAATTTTTTCCTATGGGAAAAATAATCTATTGTTCCTGCCATGCAACATGGCTGCTGTGCAAAACCTCTATACGCTTCGAGCAATCGATGTTCCCATACTAGCTCCTGGAGAATTTCGAACGAGTGTCCGTTGGTTAACAGACAGAAAGTCGTATTAAGGATACACGGAAAGGGTTCTGGACACTTGTAAAGGCGATAGTGGTGGACCTCTCGCATGCTACAGTAAGAGAAAGTTTTACTTGGGGGGAAATGTCAGTGAAGGTAAAAGATGTTCGCCCGCCAAACATTTATACAAATGGGAAATATCTCCCCAGCCCAGGATTATTCACATATCGAAAACTTATTAGAGTTTGAATTTTCATCTAACATACTTACAACTGTGGGTCATTCTCACTAAACAGTTCTCCCTTTTAGAGGAATTACTACGATAGACAACCTAAATAAGTAAGAATAAAAGCTAAACAAAGTTGTTGACATTATTTCAGATACTTAAGACACCTTCATTTTGAACTGTGGAAGGTTTAAAAAAGAGAAGACTGGTTCCTTAATGAACTCTACGAGAGTGGTCATCGCTAGGAAAGAACTTGAGCTGATGAAAATTTTCAGCTATATATTAATTGGGTTGGGGTGGCAGGTTTTTTTTTTTTTGTCATAAGAATTGATCACATTTGGTTACCTGAGGCTCCTTCTTACCCGAACACACAAAGTACTGCTTTTCAATATTTGTGAAATCAAAAGAATTAAAGAGGAAAAATCAGTATAGGAAGTGATCCGTCTAATAATGTAAAGGATATCTTTATACAATAGTGGCGCAGTGAGAACAAGTTATCGCAAGGGCCACAATGTTTTCTTGCTCAGGGCTCGCCCTTGATCTGTGACGGAATGCTCCTTAGCTGAATACTCACTGCAGATGCATGAAGCAGAAATTATACAGGCCAATATAATCTTTATTTCCTTATTCCGACGACGGAGTCTAAACTCTTCTTTCATAAATTGAAAACGTTTCTTTCTCTTGGTTCATTTTCCTATCGTAGGTGTGGTCATGTGACAGAATGGGAGGCGACAGAATAATTGGATGCTTGTGGATGCCTCCCTCCATGGTACCACGTTGCTTGTCCTTTTGCTAGAGGAATTAAGTAATTGTATTGTGTTTGTAGACATTTTTCAACGTGCTGTTTCTTAGATTGAATGCTCAATCTAAGGAGAATTCTACGGACAATTTAAGAGTGTGAGGTTAAAAAGAAGGGAAAACGATAGATATCCTCACTACTTTTTACTTTGAGTCCGAAATTCTCATGTTATTTTTCATTTTAAAATCTCATAACTCGTGAATTCTTAAGAGAAAAATATATTTATCAACATTGTGTAACAAGTGATGCGTTCTTCAGAGTAAGTAAGATCGTAAGGATTGTGTAAACCTAACATCAAAACTTTTTTTATTTCTGGATCATAATAACGAGAGATATCATTTCCTAAATGCGCCACGTCGCGAAATACGAGTTTTTTCAGGACGACCAAAATTTCCTCCAAGGAAAAATAAACCTTAAACAAAAACTAGGTCATTTAAGGAGAAAAACACCAAAATGTAAAGATGAGCCAGAAAGAAGCGTAGATGTTTAGGGATGGTAAGGGAAAGATTTGTCATGGATTGAAAGGCTGAGCTTTTAAGAAGCTTCAACCGTATTATTAAAGTTCCCTTAACTTTTGCACAACCCGCGTTGCTTAAGATAGGAGGGGAAGTGAACATATGGTTGCAGATAAAATTTTTGCCATCACCATTTTTAATGTAGGAAAAAAATTTTCGTGAAGCCGGAAAATCTCATGAGTTCACCTGCTACTTCATAATTGAAGATATGGGAGTGTCCTATGTTGTGAAGCGTACAGTTTTACCGTGTAATACCGGTTGTTCTTTCACACCAAGACCTCGCCAAATCAGGTAATGATTGCCGGTTGTTTCCTATAAATGCAACTTCAAGCCTGAGAAGATCACAAAATCAACTAGAAGGTTGGAAGGAAAAGAGAAGAACTGAAAAGGTGTTAGACATTCGACATGCACCTACTTCATTTATTTGCATTTATATTCTGTGCCTCTCTTCTTTGTGCAGGTAAGTTACTTGGATCTAAAAGCTGTTTTAGATATATTAAATATTACAAATTTTCTATTGCATTCGAATTATATCTTACAGAAGCGCAAAAGGGCAAAAGTCATATCCTGACATTTCAGAATTTTATTTTATTTTTGGAATTGCACTTGTGTCGTTCAAACCTCAATTAATTTACAATTCTCTGCCAATGTCCTAAAGTTTGGGACTGGCTTCCTGTAGAACTCACTCGTCCTTCAAGTCTTCTTAGCTTTAAGGTGAAGATGCGAGAGTATTAACCAATTTTAAAGAAACTACTGATTTGGCCAAGCCGCACATTCACAACACTTGTTTGTTTTGTAATATTTTTTTCGGTCGGGTGACAGTATTGTTACATAAATACTGATTTGAAACGGATAAGAAATGAAATTTGAAGTGCGAAAGTGCTTCCAGGGTTTTCAAATTGAAACGCTTTCGTCCGCGATTGGAAAACAAGATGCTTTGATTTAATTATTTAGATGTTGGAAAATTTTACAACAACAAAATTACCTGTGGTTTTTGTATCATCTTAAGATTACTGCATCAGCAGCCAATTTTTCTTTTTTTTTTTTTAAGGGGTCAGCAGTTATGATGACTTTGGCAAAACTTGTGTTTTGTCTCACAATGGTCTCAGAAAACTTCACGGGGCGCAGCCTGTCGCTTGGTCAGAAGAGTTAGCCGAGGAAGCCACGAAATGGTGCGAAAAACTCGCCATGCAGGACGAACTAGAAAACGACAACAGAACAATGGACTCAAAAAACCGGGGAGAAAATATTGCTGCGACGTCTGACACTAGTTCTAAAAGTGGAGGTCCAAGTCCTGAACTGTGTGCTAGGGCTGTCGATGAGTGGTACTCGGAAATAGTAAACTACAATTATGAGACAGGATTGCCTAAATCCCCGGGACTGCCTATCAAGCATTTTGCTCAGGTAATCGCCAATAATTTCCTATCTGTATGCACCACAGTATGTCGTCCAAAGTGAATACTCTTGTCTCTTGGTATCAGTTCAGCTCTCATAAAATGTCTTCAATTTATCAGTATGAATGTGATCATGTCAACGGCTCCTAAAAGCTCATTGCTACATTCACCTTACAAGTTGGGGAGCCCCTGATCCTGTGTTAGGAGTCACCGTAGACAGTATTGTGAGCATTTTTATGCTTTAAAAAAAATTATAAGATGGATTTGTTCGACATGTGTTCTTAAAGCGGAAGTTGTGATAGGTGGCAGATTTTTAAATGTATTCAGTATATTTTTAAGGCAAACGAAGCTCCTTTTTCATGTAATATTCATATGTATAAATCCAATCCGTGTTTTTAAAAGACTCCAATGGGATTCGCGTGTTAGCAATATTTTTTTCATTTTATATTCATTACTTCATTGACTAAAGATTGTCTGGAACAGTACATTTGAAATTGGTGCTGGAACTGCTCGATCCTCAGCTCATGGTGACATTGTCTGCGTTCGCTACAGTCCGCGAGGAGCTGAAGGAGACCCTGATACGTTTAAAGCAAATGTCTTTCCTGCAGAGGGTAGGTTGAAATACTGTAATTAACACCTGTAGTTATTGTGACGATGGCTGGAGGTTTATTAGTTACTTCAACAAAATATATCGTGAGTCACGAAAGCTTAAATGTTCCATATGGTTGCCACGAAAGCTACAATAGCCAGAGACGTTCCGGCAAAAAAAAAAAATTGCTTCACAGGTTTAGGAAACCCTTTATTCAAACCATTATGGAATAGATCAAACTTTTACATAATAGGACAAATTAAGGGAAAAAAAGAGAGATTATTATCTGCTCATGTGTAATAATAGTATTAATAGTAATGATAAATGATACTAATAATTCTCTACTACTACTATTAATGATAATAATAATACTAAAAATATTTTAATATTAAAATAACCTGTTCAAGAACGAGGATCCAACCATAGAGCTGATGCACCAGTTTCAAGAGCGCTCAGTAAAAAATAGGACATAGTTCTATTATCAAGGAGGCTTTGAAGTATGGGAAAGAGCTTGAAATATCGCTAAATTTGGTCTACCCTAACCCTACATGCTGATGCTGATGCTGATGCTGATGCGCCAGTTTCAAGAGTGCTCAGTAAAAAATAGGACATTGTTCTATTGTCAAGGAGGCTTTGAAGTATGGGAAAGAGCTTGGAATATGGCTAAATTTGGTCCACCCTAACCCTACATGCTGCACTGAGGATGGAGATGAGATCCCGGGTACAAAAATCAATTAACAGCGGTTGAAGCGAGCTCAGCAAGAAAGGCTGAAGGAGGACGTGTGAAGTCAGAGTTGGCAAGGGAAGGTGATCGCATCGAGATGGAGTGACCGAGCTGAGTAACGGGTGTTTTCACTGGCTTTGTAAGTGGAAGTCCAGTCCAACGCATGTGATTGCCGGTACCTATGAGCTGTACGAGCAGATGCTCATTGCACGTATCTATCAGAGTAAAAACACAAGAACTGCTACAGTGCGTGACGTGCAATGCAGACTCTGCGACAAAGTGCAAGAGTCGGTAGCACGTATTCTGACTCAATGTTCCGCGCCTGCGCAGAGCAAATATCTCCACACGCGTAATTTCCGTACTAAAGATTCTGTTCTATGAGATGCTCTATGATGTAGAACTCTTGGACACTGTACCACCCTGGTGCTCCACGATCGGGCCAAAACCTCTCTACGAAAGCGCAGATGTACAAGCCTTTTGGGATGTCCCGCTGTACGCGGACCAGATGGTAGTGAGAGCCAACCGGATAGATGTTAGGGTTGTGAACTACAAGCGGAAGATTTTCACCATTTTAGAAATGAGTTGTCAATGGGCGGAGAACAAAGCTGCGAATGATCAGGATAAGACAGAGAAGTATGCCACCTTGAGGCTGGAACTAAACCAATAGTTCAAAGTATACGCGCAGACCAGCACAACATTATCCTAAATGTACTGGGAAGGTACTCCGAAGGACTCGAGAGACCTGTTTAACATACACAAGTCTACACTGCCATATAATAATGATAATAATGATAATAATAATAATGATAATAATAATAATGATAATAATAATGATAATAATAATAATGATAATAATAATAATGATAATAATAATAATGATAATAATAATTATAATGGTAATAATAGGAGTAGCAGTGGACATTCCACGAGATGGTTCTTCTCGTCCAATGTTTATATTCCTTTGAAAAAAAAAATGATCCCGTAAGGACCATCGCATATTCATTGGCGTGACAACAAATCGACAAGCTTAAAAGGTCTATGAAATATTCTTTTAAAAACAAAGGAAGCTTGAGAGATATGTGCATTTGACATTTTGAATTATCTGCTTCAATCCTAGGTACTCTTCCAAGCATCCCCACAGAAGAAGGTAAGCAGTTTTTTTTTTTTTTTATTATCATCAGATGAGCTTTTGAGAGGCGTATCCTCAATGTATTTGAAACTGTGATGTATTTGAAACAGTTGCCTTATCTGAGAAAGTGATGACTTTTTTTACCCATTACGGACCACATGACCGGTGATCATTAAATTGCATAATTCAAAATTTAAAATTCACTTAAATCCCTCACAGGGACCAAATCTTTTGGTGCTCAACAAACTGGACAGACGGGAAAGTATAGTGGGAGTATTACCTGCGGTGTCGGTAAGAGGTCTCGCATCGTCGGTGGGGAGCAAGCGAGGCCCTCTGAGCTTCCCTGGCAGGTTGGCTTTAGATATGAGAGTCCTTACGGCAGAACGAACATTTTCTGCGGTGGAACTCTCATCGATGAGAATTGGGTCGTGACAGCTGCCCACTGCTTTCAAAAGCCAAATAATGGTATGACGCTTAAGGTCATACTTGGAGAATTTGATACACAAAACGAAGAAGGAAATGAGGTGATAATCCCTGCAAAAAAGGTAGTGAGAACTTTGTCATCATTAACTTGATATTTAGACGAAGATGATAGCATTGACGACCTAAGTGCTGGAACATTATTTTGAAAAATGCTATTATTAGATTATCTGGGAAATAGCAGCCGGGGGGATGCCGATAAAATACAGTTAAAACGATAAAAAATGATTATCAAGAGGTGTCAATAATTTATCTTTTCAGGTCATCAACCATTCTAGATACAACAAACGGACAAATGATAACGACATAACTCTGGTAGAGTTGAGCTCAAAAGCACCATTCAGCGACAACATAAAGCCAATCTGTATGCCTACAAGTAGCACCGATTTTCCAACTGCAACCATGTGCACCGTGAGTGGCTTTGGCACAATTCGGTCCAGCGGACCACAGTCCAGGTATCTTTTGAAAGCAAATGTCCCACTTGTCGACCACCAAGAGTGCAAACGAAGCTACCGGTCACTTACGGAAAACATGGTCTGCGCTGGATACAAACAGGGGGGAATCGACTCCTGTCAGGGGGATAGTGGAGGCCCTTTAGTGTGCCCCCAAAACGGAAAATTTTACCTGACAGGGGTTGTGAGCTATGGCATCGGATGTGCCAGACCAGGGTATCCAGGCGTGTACGCAAAGGTTAAAAACTACCTGGACTGGATCGAAACGACAAAGAGTGGTTAGTTAGACTGGATACGTAATGCTATGAGACACAATTTGAATTAAATTTATGATCACTTCAACGAAAGAAAACACTCCTTCAGTTTAAGGTGAACATGTAATCAGGTGAAGTTCCGTTGAATGTACGTAAATTAAACCATGCAAAAACCTTTCTATAACGGAAGTTGACAGTTATTTTAGACTATTTTTCTGAGATTACAGATGTTTTAAAACATCATAATGCATCGTGTTTCAACCTTTGAACCTCTAGGAGTGATTAGCACCTAATTTCCCCTTTCAGTGTCACCTCTAAATCAAACATTAAGATCACAACAATTAAGGACTTAATCCCCTTAAAACTTCATCATCAATTTGATCTAAAGTTCAAAGGGCTTAAAACATAATGATAAAAAAAAAAACCTAGAGTAAGGCTGGTTCGATTGTACTAGTTGGTGATTCCACTCCTTGTTTGCCATAAATCGTGACCAGGTCAGAGAGCTCTTGTTAGAAATGACTGTGTCCAGCATTGATTTGCATGTTTACTCGTGGGTCTTCAATGAAAAGTACAGAGATTGATCTTTGCGTTTAGTTCGAATATCTTTAAAGCAATTATCCTAATTAGTGCCTCTTCTTTTCGTATTGAAAAATAACGGAGATTACCTACAGCCGAAAAATTACCAATTTTTTTTACTGCGTTACAGGCAAGTGAAAGCAGACTTCAAAATAAATCTATTTTCAGTTGTAACTTGAAGCAGGCACGCCCCGCGACTGATTTTAAAATCAAACTTGGAAAGGTTTATGAAAACGACATTTAATTAAACCCCTCTCTGTCCTTATTATCACCTCCTGTTGAATATTCAGATTAATGGCTTCACTAGGGGTGGGTTGTTAATTGAGACAAAGACTTTTTGTAGAGGTTCCTTGGAGTGCAACTGAAAAAAAAAAAAAAAGGAAAAAAAGTGCGCCGTATAATACCGGTTATTAAACCCACACCCGCTATTTGCGGAGCACGTGTCACATATTTCTATGTGTTACAGGATGTTCCAGCCCAAACGTACGCCTTAAATTCCTCTAGATGATTCACTCGCGTGTATAAGCTAACATTCTACCGATTATTTATTTTATCTATTTGTTTTTTGTAATTATTGATTATGCAATAACATGTTTCACAACAGCTATAAGTCTGTTTCTACTGTGTTAAAAGACCTAAATTAGCTGTTGACCCGACAGGCTCAAATTCGATTCACTTCATGTGGCGGAGAGCATTTCAACTGGGACTAAATTTCAACGAATTTCTTGTGGTTGACTGGTAGCCTCTAATTTGGTGCGTGAGAACGGTAGTGCGAGGATTACGGATTCCAAGACACCAGTTAGTGTAATTTCAATGCGATTCTTTGTCCTACCTTTGCGAAAATAAATTTAAATAAATATCTTTCTTTATAGGAATGATATAAATACTCGTAGATAACGCACATGGCTTTGTCTCAGACAGCTTTTCCTTTCCACATGTAGGGTTATTAAGCGCCTCAGATTGCTCTGCTAGATGATTTCGATCGCGCGGTTCCTTCTTATTGTGGTTTTCTTTCTGGTCGGGGAATTTCCTAGTGCAAGGTCGGCCACATGCGACTTTGACGATCACTACCGCACTGAACAGTCCTCCCTGGGTAAGGCGGTTATCGGATTCACCTACCGAACCCCTGGGAATAGCACTCCTCTCGGGTGTTACAAGCATGTGAAGCGGACTCTATTTGCCAAAGTATCAATTTCTACGTGATCACAAAACTGTGAATTCAACAACCGCACGAGGGATGCTCCCCCAGGTCATTTCCTTGAAGATAACCATCGACTCTACTTGAAACGAATTACAAATCCAGGTAAAGTGGAATAACCCCAATGTAGCTTTTCTGATGTAATTTTTTGTCGTCAAACAGTAATTCAGTACCAAACGGACTTAGTGGTGTGCAACTTGGAGAGAAATCGCGCCAGTAAGTTCTACCTCGCCGATCAAGAAGGAAGGACGCAGTTGGACAAGTTTTAAGTTCCAAGCACGACTACCCTTTACTTGTCTCACTCTAGGACCAAATGGCATCAAGACCGTATTATTTGTAATAAGTGGTGAACTAAGGTTGGATACATATGTCTCATTTAACGTTTTGTTGTGTAGGATCGCTGAGTATTTTTGTGAGTTGTGCCATCTTTTGACGAGCCCGTAGGGCAAGTCAAAATACAAACAACTATTAAAAATACTCAGCGATTCTACACAACAAAACGTTTAATAAGAAATTTCTCAGCCAACACGCCAAATTTTTATTTCAGTGCGGGCGAATTTCGTGGATATTTATTTACGGGAGTGCGTGACAGAAGTCTGCGAAGCGGAACGGGATTGGGGCGGTATTTTCTTTTATGGTCGTCTACTTGTTTTTCTTCGTTCGATTCATCTAATAAGCTTGCATCAATATTCGTTAGCCACTCCGATTCTTCGTCGTCAGAGAAATAATTAAATTGTCCGCCATTTTTTTTTCCTAATTTCAATCCAACTCGTCGCTTGTCCATAGTAGCCGAAAACTGTCCCCTTGAAACGGATCTTCTGGAATAAACAAAATAGTCAATTTAATCAAAAAACAAATCCGCGCTACAGAGCGGGAGTCAGCAAAAAACTTATTTAGATTAAGAAATGCTTTGCTATACTATCATCAGTTACGCTGGGATCAATTAAAGAGCTTCCTGCATCCTCCTGCCAAGAGATAAAAGAGAGTGAAGGCGACTATTATATGAACGGTTACTATTGGCTGAAACCAGTTAAAGTATAGTAAAAGAAAAGTACAAATTTCGTGGACTTCTTCATCTCTAGAAGCATTCACACTGGTAAAATCGTGACCAAACATATAAAATTTTTCATAAATTTAAAGTCAATCTTTCAAATCATTTTCCTAATCAGTTTCTATAGAAATGAAGCCAACAATTAGGAGAGCGAGACAAATGATATGAATCTTTTTTCTCGAATTTCTATTTAACCATCGACCTTCAACAGCTTAAAATGATCTGTAAACTTTTATTTCAACTGTCGAAGACGGAAACACGAGAGTAGGCAGAGTTGAAAGGTTTACAGTTCCCAATACTTCTCGATATTTGATCACTGCCTGCGGAGCACGAAGCGGAACTCACGGCTACAATTAAGGATATCGACCTGGGACATACTTTGGTGGAAGAGGTGCCAAGATAAAAGGAATTTTTAGCCTCTCAAAATAGAGTGTTTTAGTCCTTGTCGTGGGAAAGAGAGGGGGTAATTCAGTAGAGGTGAAAGGGGAATGGAAACCAGTAAGACAGCAGCTGAATTGGGTTTGTCAGTAGAAGATAATGTCGGCACCGTGGGAGGGGGAGGAAGTTTCATTTACACAGTAATAGGGGAATTACAACTTTTTATGTCAGCCGGAGGGGGAGGGGGTGCTTCTGAGGGATTTCATGGCGTAGATGGTCAAGCTGGAGAAGGCGGTACTTAATCGAACAGTTATAGCTCATAGGGCGCGATAAAAGGGGGAACTGGTGGTTAATCCGGTGAGTGTAATGCTAATAGTGGGAACTGGCACGGAGGAGCAGGCGCAGGCTCGTTCGGTGCAGGGTGTTAAAAAATGTATGGCGCCAACGGCGATGGTGGGGGATCATTTGACCGTACCTGGGCCGGAGGACATGCAGGTTGGATGAATACCGGGAGCAACGGAGGACCGTTCCCAGGGGCTATGAGTGGTTATGGAGGAGGCGGAGGAGGCGCAGAAGATAATGGAGCATCAGGTGGAGGTGGGGGGATCTTTTGGGGGCGGAAGCGGCATATGAAGTAAGCAAGCTGGGGGTGGGGGCTCGTATTGCGGTGGTGAAAGCTGTATAGCTGTTACTGGTAGAAATCTGTTTGATTATAGAGTGATAACTATTGAAGAAATCTCAGAATAGCATCCCGTGGGCTGTTCTTTGTATAAATGGGCCTCTCATTAGGTAAAATGCAGCAGTTTCTTGCGGTAGTTATGGATATCGCCTTCTGCCTTGAAAGTCATATTCTGGGACTCAAGTTATTACACTCAGGCTAGAATATCCAAAAATGTCACATTTTTGCAAGAAATGTAACATTTTTTGTAAGGTACTTTACCTTAGTTACTCTGCAAAATGTAAACGACTGATAAGAAATTCTTAAAGCCAGTTTTTGTCGCACATACTTATCGTCACAACTGACCTGTCAGACTGATCCTTTTACACGAACAATTCTTCCTTATGAGTGAGTTGTCTCTTTTTGCTTTCTTACACTAAATTCCATTAGATCAGCGGCTGAAAATCATTGGTTTGGCCAGACAGCTCTGATCGATGAAGAAGTTATTTCACCGAGCTGTCTTTTCAGATAAATGTGGAAGTGTCAGTGATAAGCATTGAGCTTTCTGCTCAATCTCGTGTCCTAAATCATCGCGACTTCTGCTTAGCCTGCCCCTCTCCACCTTGACTTAAAGGAAGTGGAAAATATTTTTTTCCTTGAGCTGTGACACAACTATGACCAAATTTTCTTAATAAATTGAAAATTGAAATAATTCTGATCAGACAGTTCTGATTAGTGGTTAACGATTTTATTAGACGAGTCTGCTTAACAGGCTCATTGTTTATATAGTTTCACCCAATTTCGTAAATGTGTTTTCATGTACTTCTTGCTATTCTAAAGTGAGTGAAGTAAGCGAAGAAGAACCCGAGTCCCCGATAATATCGCCCTTTTCGCACTCAGTGTTTTCGGTTTCCATGATTTCAAGTTTACGATTTCTCAAAGTATTCCTTGGGAATACTCCTCTTTCGCTTGTTGTTGTTTCCTCAAGTCGTAGATGTATAGATGCAAGAATTAGTTATAAGTCACGAAGATAAGTTATGAAATGGTTCATCGACATCCTCTTTCTCTAAACTTGCCATACTGACGTCGAATATTTCGTTAAGTTATTTTCTTTGGCACTTCACCATTGAGGGGTAATGTGATAACATCTTCAAGCCAACAAATTCATGATTTAATAATAATAATAATTATAATGATAATAATAATGGACTAGATGGGATCAGATGTGTGATGAGGGAGATTATCCCGGAGCTACCAAAGGGACCTTTTGAGTTATACGCAGAGCAAGCTAAGAAAGTGATATTAAAGAAGAGGAACTGGAGT